TCTCCTCTTACTTTCTGTATCTCCATGCCTACAGAACCATAGCTGCCCTGCTTTGCCCACCTCATCCAGAAGCTGTTCCCAGGGACTGAGATCACCAGCTGGAGACCCATCCTGCCTCAGCCTCCCCACTCCCTATTCCCTCTGGGAGGGAGCCATACCCTGATCCCTGGGTCTTTCAAACTCTGCCCTCCTGTACCTAGGAAACCCTCTGGGCTCAGCTGGAAATCTGAGCTTTGGCTCTCAGAAGAGGGGGCCTGGAGTTGAAGCCAAGCAGGCCGAGCTCTACAGGGAGCAGGTAGTGTGCCAAGCAATGAGGACCCACTCCGCTGAAAAGGCCACTTTAATCTCAGCCGAGGAAACTGGTGACAGACAAAGGAGCAGGGCTGGAAAGACCTGGCACCCACCATTAAGGACCCACCTCTCCCCACTCCCTCTTTACTAATCCATCTCAGTTTTCCTTATTTTTTTTCATGGAAAAAACTTATTATTTGTATTTTTGGACAGAGCCTGGCATATCCCAGGCTAGCTTTGAACTTACCATGTAGCCAAGAATGACCTTGGACTTCTGTTCCTTCTGTCTTTACCTCCTTAATGCTAGGGGTGCAGGTTTGCACCAGTACACCCGATGTCTAAGGTGCTGAGGAGGGAACCCAGGCTTCCTGCACACTGGCAAGCACTCTTCTCACCGAGCCACGAGCCACGTCTCCAGCCTCACCTCTGTTTTCCCATGCTGTTCCCTGCTCCATTTGCTTTGAGAGACTCTGCTTCCCCCTCCCCATCTTTCTGAGTAACCAGCCAATATCTGCCCATGCAATGAGGGCCTTAACAGGGAAGCCTCCAGCCCTGGAAGTTGCTCTCTATCTCAAACCAGCAGCCCTCCCCCCCCCCCCCAGCTGATCACTTCTCCTTTCAGAGTTTTCTTTTAGGATGATGACCAGACATGGTGTCCCTTGCTCAGATACCAATGACAATGGGAAGGTCTGAAGCCCCTCTGGGCTCCGAAGAATGCACAAACATGGTTATTCCTGATGATCCTCATACTTATGAGCCCATGTGAGCTCTGAGGTCTATAAGCACAGAGATGTGTGAGCCGGGGCTCTTCCCGTATCCTGGGAACAGCATTGTCCCAGCCTGTCCTTCATGGGCATCAGAATTGCTTTTCATCAAGCAGTCATCACCCCCATCCCAACTCCAGACATTTTGTCTTAGCCACACCCATGCACTTCCAAGGAAGAGGACGGTCACTAAAGAATTGTGTGTGTGTGTGTGTGTGTTGTAGGTGTAGATTCTTTAGGGCATTCAGAGAACTCAGGCCATCTAGAGCCTACAGTGAGTAAGAGGAAGGGGGCTCCTTCCTGCCAGCTGTTGTGCCCTAAGAAGAAAGTTGCATTTTTAATATGCTAATTATATTATATTAGTGATTTGCTTGCATGTATGATTGTGCACCATGTGCATGGCTGGCACCCATGGAGGTAGGAAGAGGGCATTGGATTCCTTAGAACTGGAATTATAGACAGTTATGAACTGGCACGTGGGTGCTGGGAATCAAACCCAGGCCTTCTGGAAGAACAGCCAGTGAGTGCTCTTAACCTCTATGTCTAGCTCACAATAAATCTGTTTTAAAAAGGTGTGTTCCTGTTGGAGAGATGGCTCAGCGGTTAAGAGCACTGACTGCTCTCCCAGAGGTCCAGAATTCAATTCCTAGCAACTGCATGGTGGCTCACAACCACCTGTAGTGGGATCTGATGTCCTCTTCTGGTGTGTCTGAAGACAGCAACAATGTACTCACATATTATAAAATAAATACATCTTTTTTTTTTTTTAAAGATGTCTTCAAGTATATCCCCAGCGAATGTTATTGCTGGCAGTACAGGCAGAAACACAGAGTGGGTGCACACAAAGGCCAGAGACTCAGAAGGAGCACCCAGGGAAGAGGTGCTATGCTCAGCCCCAGGCTAGTCCCTGGCAACTCCGCCTGGCCTCTCTTCTCTCTGTAGCCGTGCCATGAGGCGGCAGCACACTGTGGTGCTACATTAGGGTTCTCCTTCAGAAATGGGGCAGCTGGAAGCTATTTTCAGGGTCTCTGCTCTTATTAACGTAAAAGAGGTTTTTCTTTTTTCTAGGTTCTGTCTCAGCTAGGGCATTTGAGCCCATGTCAGTTTGTTGAAAGACAGGTTCTGGTCCAGTGGGATTCACTGGGACCTGAGAACTTTTAGCACTTTTAGCAGGGGGTGGGGGGAGGGGATGGGAATTGGAGTGGGGAGTGGGGATGGGTGGGTGACAAAGGTGCTGAGGACACTCTGGCTTTTAGTGGCAACACTGGGGGGCTCCTTCCGCCTCCGGAAGTACACTCCGAATTCCAACGAATTGGGCAAGGCAAGAGGAGTTAGAGAACAGAACACGGGGCAGAAGGGACCTACCTGTATCTAGTTTTACAAATGGTTGAAACTGAGGCCTACAGGTGTGAGATGGACCATGATTAAAAATCACGGAGCACCTCAATTCCAGGCACACCCTGGAGTTCAGAGGCTGGCCAGTCTAGCAGAGTCTCAAGTCCCAGGTTCATGGCTTCCACACATGTACTTAGGGAATGCTCACCAGATTGCACACCTACAAACAAATACGCTCTGCACACTAGTATCTCTGTCTCTCCCTCACACACATCCCCACCAAAACATCAGGTAGAAAAGGGAAAAGGGAAAAGTCAAGATCCCAGCCTCCTACATTAGGAACCCCCCCCAAATCTACAAAAGGGACCTGTCCGGGTTATCTGTGGGCGGACTTTAGGTCTCTGTGTTCTTGTCTGTTCCGGTGTTGTTTTGTTTTGTTCCTGAGACAGTCACTGAGTCCAGGCTGCCTTGTAACTAACCGTGGAGCCAGGCTGCCTCAGCCTCCCATACCTGTATGAACCACCGGGATCCTTTTCTTTCTTCCTCTTTTTTTTCCCCAGAAAATGAAGAAATATTCTGATTTTATAATAAAAACGAATTTTAACAAAAACAATTTTGCACTAACTTATAGAAAATGGGAGCGTACTTTATTAAAACTGCACTCGCAAGTAGAGGGGTTTGGAAGAGATGGGCTGCGTCTTCCGCGGTTTAGCCTTTTTACTCTTCTGGGCCGGCTGTGGTCCTCTGCATCCCTACCCTCCCTCAGCAGAGCTTGGGTAACTGGTGTCTTTCAGTTCCTGGGGAAGGAAGCGCTCTAACAGTACTAAACTACCCAGGGCGATGTCTGCTTTTGTTGTTCGTTTCCTCACCTTAATTGCAAAGCAAAATTGATTTGAAAGAAAAGAAATGTTACAGCTCTGGGGCGAATTCTAACGAGCCTTGGGCAATTAGAGAAGAGAGCTTCTAATTATCCGTAGCCCTAGGCACCTTCACGACTCTGGGGTGCTAGGCCTGCTGCCCTGCAAGCTGGCTTTCTGTGCCCCCACGGAAAGAGGGGAAGGAGAGAAAAAGAAATGCACTTCGGGTCTCAAACCCCTCAAACTGGAGTCGGAGGGTCTGAGACCACAAATTTGGAGGAGAGCTACGAGGGCTATGCGCTGGAATGTTCTCAACTCGGGAGAGCATCCTGCCGCCCTGCTCCTCTGGGTGTCCCACGGGACCTACGCGGCCCATGGGAGATGTGTAAGGGCCCCCGTGGCCCTCAGCCCATGGTCCGGGTCTTCCAGGACCCCTGGACCCGTCCCGCGGACCGCGGTCCCACACCCAGTTCCCTCAGAGTTGCATCTTTCCTGAACACTGACTCTTCCCTTGGCCAGCGTCTCAGCAAGTGTCCAAGCCCACGCGTTATGGATGCGAAGACTCAGCCTTCCGTCTGTCTTCTTTCGCCTGCTTTACAGCATTAGGGCACTCAAACTTTCTGATAAGGCAGGTTTTTGCCTCCCCCCACCCCCATCAATTGCAAAGAGATTTACTTTCCCTTCTCTCTCGAGCATCTGCCTGTCTGTCTCTTTCTCTCCCCTTTAACTTCTGGAAGGTCTGAAGTAGCAATCACGAAAATCTCATTTTATAAATGAGGACACTGGAGGAAAGGTGTCAAGGCACCCACTATGAGAATTAGGATACAAACACTCAGTATCAGAACTAATATGGGCAAATACTGCTCCTTTTTAGCCCGGAGAACATGCCAGGGCTGAGAGTCAACTTTCAGAATTTGAGAGGTAGGCAAAGCTCCAGACCTTCGGGTAGCCTAGTACACAGAACCATCAATCTCATACCTGGGAGAGCCCACCTGAAGAGGAAGGGGCCTCAGCACCTGAAGTCCAGAGTTACCGGGCTGAATGCCATCTACCTCCAGATGGGCATCACAGAGTCAGGAAAGGCTGTTGAGCATTTGAGTGTGGCTAGATCAAAGATGAGCTGTAAATTAACATAGCCCCAGCATCCGAAGGCATAAAAGAAAACCGGCAGCATTTTAACAGTGTCTGTCTTGAGTATGTGGAAGCTATATTTCAGATATAGTGAATTAAATACAATCTACTATTACAATTAATCCCATTGCTAATTTTTATTTTGATTAATGTAGCTACTAGAAAAATTTTAAATTACACTTGTGGCTTGTTCTGTATTCCTTCTTATTGGAGGTGTGATTTAGTTAAATTCTCCTCCGATAGGACCCAATTTCACACGTCTTTGTGAACAGGATAGAAAGTCCCCCCCCTCACACACACACACACACACACACACACACACACAAATTACCAGTGCTTTCATGGCATCTCTTCACAGCCGCTCACTCCCTTCTTTATCAAGCTAAATACACAGAAAGAGGCCACATTTCTTCTGTTCTAGTTCACTTGCTCAGATTTTCTTTTTTAATTAAATGAGTCCATCTAGAAACTCTGGTCTGTCTGAAGAAGGGGAGTGGAGTCCCTCCTCAACGCTAGATATTTTTGTTCTAAAATCAAAACTTCTCAAGGGAAAGATGGAGATATGTTGGATTTTTCCTTCTGACGATGAATTTTAACTTCTGTGAACCTGTTGCCTAAAACAAACAAGATACAGAATAAAATTTTAAAAAAAATAAAAAAATGAAGATCGCTTTGTTAACCATCCGATTTATTGCTTTTCCTTCCTTTTTGTTGGAGGAGGGCGCTGAAGCAGGAGCGCACAGGAAACAACAGAAGGCTCCAGTTAAGGACAGTCTCCCACCTACACTCTCCTTATCAGAAAATCAGATTTTTGACTGGGTAGTCACTGCTGCAGAATGACCAACACATCTCTCTCAAAAAATTCAATAACTAGGGCACAATCTCTACGTGGAGCCAGTCCTGGGACTTTGGGTTAAATACTTGCCAATGATCTGTTCCCATTTCTGGATGGCCTTCGGACGTTGAGTGGTTACTGGGAAGACCTGGGTGGTTCACCAATGCTGCCAAATATGGAAGGTTGGCACCTAAGATAATGGGAGGGGGTTTTAAAATGAGAAGGTAGAATCACACAGTTCTGTAGAACAGACAGACTAAAAATTCAGGTATTGGGGCTGGATCACACCGAGGCATTTTCGGTTATGACTGAGACTCAGGCTTGCGGTTCTCCGAGGCAGGGAAAACCAGTCCAGCTGAATCGAACTGTTTTTTAAAAAGCAATTCTTTTTGCAAACTTGTTCTCACTTTAATTATAAAGGCACCTCTGAGTCCGAGCCTTTTATTGGCGTACGGTAGTCAGAAGTACAAGAGGAGAGCATGTAACCCGAGTTTGGCGCAGCATAATAGCACATGGTGAAGCCATCCGACTGCACCACCGGTCGGGATCTTAGATTCTGGTGTAGACAACTCTGCAACTCTCCACCCTTTACAGCCTAGGGCCCTCCCTAGTAGACCGGCGGAAAAGCATGCTCTTTATAGCTCCGCATCATGCAGGGTCCCTTGTGTCAGTCCAAACGCTGCTGTGGCCTCCCTAGGTCCGCCCACGTCCAAAGCAAATCGGATCTGTGAACAGTGCAAGACACCGAGCCTCTGCGGCGCTCGGGGGCCTCGCACGGGAGTCTCAGTCTCACTTTTTAGTCCTGTCCGCCGGTCCCGGGGGATTTACATCTTTCAGAACGTCCTGGAGTCAGTGAGGTTTCGTGCCTATCCCCGGCTCACATGGCAGATACGAACCGATCCACCGCGCCGGGGTAGGCGGTGGCGTGGCGGGAGTGGTAGGCACCGCCACCACCGGCTCCGAGTTGCCCACTGGGATTGTAGCAGGGCCCCAGCGCCGCTCCGAACTGGCCCGGCGACGTGCGCCCGTAGAAGTCCACCGCGGTCTCCACGCCGCCGCTGCCTCCTCCCGCGGAGGGCGAGGCGGGTCCGGCCAGGCGGCCCGCAGCAGCGGCGAAGAGCGCGCTGCTCGCCCCTTGCGGGTACGCGCCGTCGGGGCCCGCATAGGCGGCGGCATAGGCGGCGGGGTTGACCGGCCGCGCGCCCGTGCACACCGCCGGCTGGAAGCTCCCGGTGGCGGCCGCGCCCGCCGCAGCCGCGAAGGCGCACGAGCCACCGGCCGCTGACGGCGCGGGGCCCAGATCGGGGCTGAGCGGCCGCTCGGGAACCAAGCCGAAGACCCGGCAGGGCCCCGGCGACGCGGCGGGGTAGTAGACCGGCGGGGGCGCGGCGAGCGGCGGCGCGTAGCCCGCATAGACGGCGCCCGGGTAGGCCGGCCTCGCGGCGGGCACGGCGCCCGGGAAGATGGCGGCGGCGGCGGCGGCGGCAGCAGCGGCTGCATCGTGCATGTAGGCCGGGTAGGTGGACAGGTCCGAGCGCTTGAAGCGCTTGCGGCGGCGCAGGAAGCTGCCGCTCTCGAACATGTCTTCGGCGTTGGGGTCGAGCGCCCAGTAGTTGCCCTTGCCCGGGCGGCCCGCCTCGCGCGGGATCTTGAGGAAGCAGTCGTTGAGGGTGAGGTTGTGGCGGATGCTGTTCTGCCACTTCTTGGGGTTGTCGCGGTAGAACGGGAAGCGCTCGGTGATGAACTTGTAGATGCCGCCCAGAGTCAGGCGGCGCTCGGGCGCGTGCGCGATGGCCATCGCGATGAGCGCGATGTAGCTGTAGGGCGGCTTCCCCCGCTGCAGGGGGCGCTTGCGTCGCCGTCCCCCCGCGCCGCGGCCCGCCGCCTCCGCCGGGACCCCCGCGCCCGCCGCCGCCTCACCGCGCTCTTCCTTCACGGCCGCCAGTGCCTCGGGCTGCGGCGCGGGAGGCGGCGCGCTCTCGGCCGTCATAGCGCCGCGGTCCCCCGTACCCCCCGTCGTCTGCTGCTGCCGACGGCCGCGCCGGTCCGGGATCCCGATCCCCGGGAGCCGACCCCGGGGCTTTGCGGTTGGCGCCGAGAGTACTGAGAGCAGGGGACGTCAGGGTCCGGAGCGCCGCGTCCACCGACGGCTCCTGCGGGGTACGGGCCAGAGGGTCCTTGGCGCTCTGGTGCCCGGCGATCAGGGGGTCCGGACGTGGCTCGGAGGCCGGGGTGGCGGCAGCTGTTTGGGAGTCGTTGTGGGTCCGAGAATGATCGTCGAGGCTGTGCTCGTAGAGGAGGCTGCAGGCTGGGGTCTCGTGCAAGGGCAGTCAGTGGGGGCACCGTACACCCCTGCGGGGTCCGCCCATGCCGCACCCCTGCGGTGAAGGTACAGCCCAAGCGGAGGGCAGAGAGGCGAGGCCAGTGGCGAGGCGGGCGAGCGGGCTGGGCCAGATGGCGAGGAACTGCTCGGCTCTGCGGCCCTGGACTCCAGCCCGGAGTCCCGCCGGCGAGGCGCTCTCCTGCACACACCTGGGCCAGCTCCTCCCTCCGCCGGCTTCGCCTCCTTAAAGGCACCAGCTAATGCGGGGCGTAGCCGGTTCCCTGCCCGCCCCTCTGCTCCCCCCACCTCCGGCGGGCACACCTCCCCAGGTAGCGGCAGAAGCCCCACGACGTCAGAGCGGGGAGGGCTCCTGGAGGTGCGGGGGCTGGCCTCCTCTGCGCGCCAAGCGGGAGACTGAAGTTGCAGGACTCCCGGAGCTCATCCCAGCGCTCCTGAGTTACGGTCTACGTCTGCGGAAAGTTGTGTCTCTGCAGAAAGTTGGGACTCTCACGTGGAAAGAGGGCTCACAGCATTTTCTTGTCCAGAGAGGGTAAGAACTGGACGAGGGTGGGGCGCGTTTAATTATTGTGGGGAGGAGAATCGGACGTTCTTGAGATGCTTTCCAAACCCAGGTCTAGGCTGCCTGGCCCAATCTCTGGTCCAGTTCTTTTTCAGACAAGGATTCCCAGGTCCACTGCAACTTCGCTGTCCTCAGGAGTCTGCAGCCTGTGTCTGTTTTAGAATGCGCTTCTCAGCTAGTGGTGAGGTAGTGCCACAGGGAGTCGCTTTACCAGGTCCCTGAACTGTCCTGAGGTTTTGTATCTCGGGAAGTGTTTAGGGAAAGCCTCCTCGCCGCATCCCGGTCGTTAGGTGGCTCGAGATTCTTCTCCATATGCGGGAGAATGCCTGATTAGCGAGTACTTGTCTGCCGCTCTCTAGCAGTCTCCGTTTCTCAATCCTTCCACTAACCCGGGGCCAGAGTGGGCCAGCCGCTTCTGGAGGCCTAGGAGTGAAGACTTGGGGGAGGCTGCTGTAGTCAGTGCACAACTCTTCGTGTGTGTGTGTGTGTGTGTGTGTGTGTGTGTGTGTAGACTGTTCCAAAATGTCCGATTTCTGCCTTCCTCTCGTGCTAGAGCTGGACTCCCAGCGTGCAGTCTCATCTGCCTGGTTCGCTTTCTGGCCACTTTTGGGACTGATTACGTTCCCATCTCAGGAATCTAAGATTTGGTTCTTAAGATTCTCACCTTGAAGTCAGCACCTTTCCTAGGAAAGGAAATTGTGGGCGCAAAGAGCTACGTGGAAGGTGCCTGACTGGAAAGAGACACACTGTGAAGGGTTCAGGTCGAACGTGGGTGGCCCGGCCTTCTGATTTTATTGCTTTCTTCAGTGAACACTGTGTGGCTGCCTTCGGAGAAAAGAGGCAGAGAGAACAGATTCTCTCTCCTGCAATTGACTGGGGCTTGCTTGAAGACCTTCCTCAACAGGAGTGTGCCCTTGAATGCAGAGGGGCTTTCCACATGCTGTGACCCCTCGCTGCCGCCCCTCCCCTCGCTGCCGCCCCTTGCTCTGCAGCCTTCCAAAGAAGCTGGGGGAATCTAGATTTCTCATGTTTCTTCCCCAAAGCAAACTTTAAGCTAATTATACGATTAGGAACGTCTGTGCTTTTCCATATTCCAAGATTTGTATTTCCAGATTGTAAATTCTGAGAGGTTATCTCAATGTGATTCTCTACATTCTTGTGGCTATAAATATCGCTAACCGTCCCAAAGGCTGTAAATGGGCATTCAATGGGCTCTGCTGGTGACGGCGCTTTCCACAAAACCTGAGAAGGACTCCTAGTAGTCCTCTAACTTCTACAAAAGGTGTGCGTGTGTGCCTGTTCCAGGGCTTGTGCAACACACACACACACACACACACAATTAATAAATGTAAAAAAATAAAAAGCCACTATATAAAGTAGTTAGAATTACGGCTTTATGCCTGGATCTTGCTCCACTATTGAAAGCTGCTTCTCTCTTTGTGTGTGTGTGTGTGTGTGTGTGTGTATTTTCTTTTCTGCGCTCTGCAGCATGTCTTATTTATTTTGAATTACCATCCAGGGATGTCTTACTGGAAGATCTGGGTCTTAATAAATGCATAATTGCTGCCTTACTCACTTCCAAAATGTGAGTAGTGGATCGATTGTTTTGTAGTGGACTAGAAGATCCTCATTCTCGTGAGTTGTCTAACGTTCATTACAGCTTGCTTTAGTGGTTGTCCACAACTTTCTGATCACTCCCTGAGCTCTTCTGACTCTGGCTAGAATCCTCCAGACCCCAGAGGTCTCTGGTCCTGCATCCCCATTCTTCCAGAATTCTGATTCCTCCAGGCATTGCCTTCCCTCTGCTTGGTGGTATCCCAGCCTTCAGGATGATCTTAGAATTCTCAAGACTATGACTGCCAGGTTTGATGGGGAGAAAAAAAAAAGACTCCTGAATTTTACTGTGTACAATTTTATTCAGATACTGTACTTCTACATCCCATAGGGTGAGGGTTCTACCTATGATGCAAAATTCTGACAACTTGTTTGATTAATACAAAGGTCACCCATTAATACGAAGTTTACCCATTTGGGACAAAACGATATGTAAACATTTCCTCCCCCTCTTCCCCTGCCTCCAGCAGAGGTAGGACGATAGTGGTCAAGTTCCCTCTTAATGGGGTGTAGTCACAGACTACATTGGTGACTACTAGGGAGTGAAAAATCCAGCAGAAGGGTTGGGGATTTAGCTCAGTGGTAGAGCACTTGCTTAGCAAGTGCAAGGTTCTGTTCTCAGCTCTGATTAAAAAAAAAAAGAAAAGAAATAAAGAAAAAAGAAAAAGAAAAATCCAGCAGAAGTGGGTGGGGTTCGGTAGCTGATCACAGGTGGGCCAATTTATTTCCTTCCAGTGTTCAACCACAAGTGTTCCCAGCACCCCTTGGGACAACTTGCTCCATTAATGGTGTGTGTGTGTGTGTGTGTGTGTGTGTGCGCGCGCGCGCGTGTGTGTGTTGGTTTCTGGGGTGTCATAGAAGACCTGGAAGTCCTCAGCAACAATGGCTTTCTCAGATTTGAAGCTCTGGAGAGGTTGTAAATGAAATCCAAGGGTCATGGGAAATTCTTCCATATTCCTTGACTCAGGTGTCTCTGGCTGCAGAAGCAGAGATAATGGGCCATCTGCCTAACGCTCTTGGGGGTTAGAGCTTGGGAAGGAGATAGGGTTGAGAGGCTACAGACCTCTGGCTCTTACTCTAGCTGGGTGGCCTCTTAGTCTTCTCTAGAGTTCTTGGTGTCTCCCTCCTGGACCCTTCTTTTAGGCCTTCTCATTCATTCAACAGTAACAGAAGATGTTTGCACATCTCAGAGAACACAGCCACCATTATCAGGGTAATTTTAGGGGATACTGCGAGCCTGGCTGTATGGTTCCAGAGAGTACTGCCACCAAACCAAACCAAACCAAACCAAACCAAACCAAACCAAACCAAACCAAACCAAACCA